TGAAGGTCTAGTCAGAGACATATTAGAGGCAGAAACAGGAGTTAGGAGGGGTAGAGGTAGACCTAGATTAGATTACTGTTCGCAAATAGTTAAGGATGTGGGCTGTTCTAGTTTTAGGGAAATGCGAAGTTTAGCTCAGGATAGGAAAGAGTGGAGGTACATGTCCAACTAGTCCTAGGACTGACGACCTTATGATGATGACATGTGCCCAAACATAAGTTTTAATTGAAAAATTATTCAAACAAAACTTGATCACTTCTTTAATATAAAATCGTCTGTAGCATATAAATTTGATTTACTATACAGTAAAAGTTCTTTATTCGCGGGTGAAAAAATTGCAACCCAGTTCTTGTATTCGCGGTTAAAAATTTCATTATTCGCGGATGCAATCGGTAAACAGAAAAGGATTCGGTCTCATTTATTAAGGTCAATCCCTTTAATAAATGAGACCGAATCCTGCAATAGACCGCTTGTACCTAGTGTGAATTTTTCCGAAAACATCGGTTTCTATTCTAAAAATTGTGATTTAACGCTGCGAGATAAATATGTGATTTTTTGTATGGTAACAGGCAAAGGTTTACACTAACTCGGCACCTTTTTAGTTTTCAATAATATGATCATTAAAAGATTTTACAAGTGCTTAAGGTTGGTGCTTCTTGTAGGACACGTATTTTCAATAGAAATTAAAAAGTTAAAAAATGGCCTTCGATAGGCTTTAGAACAAAGCTTTACCTATCTTACTACAAAATTTCAAACCTCTGTTCCAAACATTAATCTCATGATATCTAGAACCGATAAGCATGTTTTTACTCTACGGCGTATGTACTACTGAATCCCCTTAATGTATCGGCATCTTTTGAGTATGTACTGTTGATACGTGCCGAGGCGACTTTCATAAAAGATGTAACCGAGTGGTCTAATTCAAAATTCACAACAAGAAAAAAACAAAATTTTTTTAACCCTTGTCTAAAGCTAATTATAACGATTAATTTTAATTGCGAATTTCTCAATAAATTGATTTTATTTTGATACATATTGATTTTATTTTGGAACCTTAGAACGTATCCCCTATGATTCCATACTAATTACCATTCCATATCCACGGTTTCTGTATTCGCGGCATATTTATGGAACGTATACCCCCTCGAATAAAGAGCTTTTACTGTATAGTGTTCAAAAGTAGAAAAATGAAGGTTTCGCTCAAATGGCACTATTAAATGTGGTTCTAATCGAAAAAAGTTGTTCAGAATTAAAAATATTCAAATATCTTAATTTCGTCTTAAACTGATCTCGGGAATTAATTAAGCATAAAAATTGACGTTGAGATGTAGAGATCAAATTGAGCTTAAAAAAGGAAGTACATTTTTCTTCAGAACGGTGCTGTATCTCCACACCTACATCTATCCAACTGCTAACTTTTTGGGTCATTTGAACCGAATCAAAAAAACACTTTAGCATTCGGAACAACTCTCTTTTTGCCCCATATTTAACTGTGCTGCCAATTAAACGAAACCTTTGTTTTTGTATATTTGAACACTGTGTATGGTGAATCAAATTCAGATGCTACACTACAATTGGGAACATATTTTATTTAAAAAAAAATTCGATTCAATTTATAGTTTGGCCACAGTGAGCATTTTGCGAACTTTTTGGGCCATTTAACTAAAAAAAAATTGTCGCGATTTTTCTGCATAGCCCCATATTTTGGCAATCTGAACAACTTTTTCCTATAACTTTTTCGATTGGACGCATATTTTTAACTGTGCTGTCAATTAAACGACGAACCCTGCATTTGTCTACATTTAAACATTGAATGGTAAATTAAATTTAAATGCTACAATAAAATAGGTAACATGTTTTGCTTGGAAAATGTTTAGATTAAACTTTTAGTTTGGCCACAATGAGTATATTGAGTACTTTTTGGGTCACCTTATATAATGCTTATAACTCAAAAACCATGATTCTGATCAAAAATCAAAAAACGCGTCATTTTTAGAATTTCGTACGAATGACACCCCACTCGACTATATATGAGTTTTTAGGAACTGTGCTGTTTCGACCTTCCTTAGTACACACCTATGTATTTCAAAATTTCGTTCAAATCGTCCGCAGTCTGTCAACTTCTTTTCGTACAGAGTTAACTCATGTAGGGTCTCTAAAACAATTACTAGTGGATTTTAGTTGATATGAAGTCTGAATTTGCTTAATAATTTAAAGGTTTAAATATTGAATGCAATTAGCATTATATACGCACAATTTTTTGTAAAAAGCGAGTATTTGCAATACATTAGTTACTGCGCATGTAGTTATGCACCACAAACATCTACTAATTTGAAATTATAAATGTCACTTCTAGTTCACGAACGCACTTATCTGAATACTGAACTCTTTTCTTCATATATGTCTTAGTTTACCAGTGTAGTTAACACATTGACTTTGTTTTAACATTTACGTTTTTTAATATTCTTAAAAAAAGTGCTTTATCATCTAAAGTACGGGGGTTTACTAAAAAGTCTTAGAATTAATGTAAAAAAAAGCAAAAATGAAACAAAAACATTTTATTTTTCTACATAATCTCCCTTCAATTTTAGAATAACACGTTTCCAACTTTCTTATTCCTTGGGAAAAAGATCATTTCTTGACTCTCGAAAAAACTCCTGTACAGCAGCTACAACTGTGCTGTTTAGTTCCACGAATATACTCTTTTAATTTTGGGAATAAACGAAAATAACTAGGGGCTAAGTCCGGAGGGTGGTCAAGGAGATTAAAACCACACGCGGATTACGTTGAGCGCAACTTCCAATCGGTGAACAGGCAGGAACGTTATCGTGAAGAAATAACACCTCAAAGCTTCACCCATTTTCGGAATTAAATTTCTATTCCAGTTATCTCCTGGCCTTTTAACATTCTCAACCTTTTTGATATTTTCTTCCGTAATGGAGGTTGAAGGGCGGCCAGAACGCGGGTCATCTTCACAGCTTAATCTACCTCCCAGTACGCAAACGTAGAATAGGGTATAGCATCATCTCCTAATGTCTTTTGAATGTCAAAAAAATTTCCTTCGTGACCAGTTTTTCCAGATAAATACTTTATCACCGCACGTAACTCACTTTTTTCCATAATTTTGTTTTTAGAAACTCGTACAAAACAATTTATTGCGTGCGAACGAACTGACACTTGGCACAAATATTGTGTGATTGACAACAAAATTTTATAAATATATGCTTCTGAGAACTTTTTGATCCACCCTCGTAGATATGATGAAATAAATTTATAGTCAGTCGTATATTTTATCGTTGTATTATTTATATTGTAGATACACCCAAAATCGTGCAACTAACACCTGTCCAGTGTAAGGTGAACATTCCCAGGATAATGGAAAAATTTAACGCAAAGATTTCAAATAGGTAAGAATGTGTAAGTAGTTTTATTGTTTTAAATACATATAAGTATGTACATTAATTGCAAATGTGATTAATTAATTTACAGCGACTTATAATAAATTTTAATAAAAATCGACGTTTTAGTATAAAAACAAACGTTTTTGTTTAAAAAAAGTCGATCCTTTTATTATCAGTAATATAAAGCAAAAACTTTATTCTTTATCACTTACATTAGTTACTTTTAATAATAATAAGACTACAAGTGATTCGAAAGTATAAAACATAAAGTAACTTTAAATAAGTGATAAAAAACAACACATTATTTATTTCTTGTAATTCATAATGACGTATTATCAGAGAATAAATATAGGTTAACGTAGTGAATTTGATCTTTTTATCTTAATTAGCCCAATTGATTTAACCGTGGATGCTGAAGAGGAAGACGTGCAATTAATGCCTGTGCCAACAAAGGTAACATTCTCTATTACTAATACAAAATTAATTATTACAGTTGACATAATATTATCAGAGCAGTAGCCAGACTTGTGTAATCATGTTGAACTGAAAATTATTCAGGACAGGTTGAAAGCTGAATTTCCAAAAATCTACAGATTGCAATACTTTAATATTGTTTATAGTGGGTATTATTGTATAAAAGTGAGTACATTGAAGTAGTAACTTTCTAAAGTGAAACTTCTTTGTAGACGCGGGATATCACGAAAAAGCGTTACGGCAAGGGGGTAGACGGTATATCGCATGTTGAGAGGCGGCAGCGGTGGAGGGAAAGAAAGGCTGACGGCGGCCTGAGAGGGCAACGGCAACGGCTGTACTAGATGGATATAATGTGCAACTGCACGGAGAGCGGGGAGTCCGCTAGAGTCCCGGCGGCGTGTGCTGTGCTCAGCTGTTGTTTTCTTACCTCTGCTCTCCACGTGGCTGGGCATCATTGCCTCTATTTGCGGTCTGTGTAAAAAACGTATTAATAAATAAATAGAGTTTTAAATAGAGTTTGTTAAGGAAACAAATTAATAACAAGAAAACTTTGCCGACGGTTCAGTAAACCTGTGAAAACGAAATGTGTGCTTAGGCACATAGTAGAAGTGAAACTTCAACGGACAAGTAGACTCTACTACCTTGTTACGCAAAAACACCAAGACTTTTATTCTGATAAAAAAATTATTTTGATAGACAATTGTTGGAGCGGTTTGTGGAGTATACATATATGTCTAAATACAAAATATTGCTAAATACAACCGTTTTGTATTTAACCTTAAAAACAGCAAGGTCGATGGCCGTTAGTTTTGTGAAAAAGAAATCCCTTAGTGTTTTGTACATTTTCATGGCTGTATCGTCCCCCCCTCGGCCAAAAGGTGGGTGCACTCAGCTCATGGGATTTTTAGAAGTTCTCAATAATACTGTTTAGTGAAACGACTGCGCCAAACATTATCTACTGCAACAATCATATTAAATTTCCTTAATGACAACAGTAGTAGGTAATCCTACACAACTCAAAAATACGCGTATAAATTTCGAAATCCTTAGCAAGTTTAGCTAGTGGCTAGGACAGGCTTAAAATTTTCTAATACCTCTGGCTACGGCTCTGAATATTATGCAGCTTGACCAACGAACCTGCAGTACAAGTGGGAAAGAGTGAAAGCGAGTACCTACAGAATGACCGATACATTTTTTTGACATCTTCTCGGGCTATGTACAGTCAGAGTAACAAATATACCTGATTTCGATGCCGCCTGAATGAGTTTTAGTTACGTCCCTTCCACTTCGTCACTGCGCATACCTCTGTCGTGGCTACAAATACTTTGGTCGAATTGTACATATATTAAGTTTCGTTCTGAATTTTATAATTAAAAAGTGAAATGTAAAATAATAAAATATCCGCAGAGATTCCGGTATAATATTTAGGGGATAAATTGGCGCCAATAATAATTCCCACAAAAAGTGTTTAGCTTATAACCTCAGGGGTAGTTTGCCCATATGTAAAAAATACCATTAAAGTATCATTAAAAAATTATTAAATTCAATAATAAACATCAATAATAGTTGACATTTGAAAGCTTCTGAGCTGCCCGGAAAAGTAATTTTTTTCCTTTGTAGGTATCTAAATTTCAATTTTATTTGAAGTATGTTTTATACCCATTGTGTGATGGAATATCTCTCTAAAAGATTTAATTATTTTTTGCTGAATTTTTTAAAGTAGTTTGTGCTAACTACGTTAAATGCATTTATTTTTTGAATTATATATTATTTTTAAAAATTTGGTATTTTTTTTTGTAAGATAATTTTTATTAATAAATATGAACCATTATTTTTTTTCGTTTGATTGCATAAATCGTGCAAGGCATTAGACATATACAAATTCAATAACATTTTTAACAAAATCCATTATAGGATATTACAGTTTGGCCAAACTATCTGTAGCCGCAATAGAAATATGCATAGTGGCAAAAAGGAAGGGATATAAGTAGACTTCATTCTGTTTGTTGTTGAGTAGTGATTATCTACGTATAATCAGTGTAATATGAAATAACCGATGTAATAGGCGGCATCAAAATAAATTTTATTTGTTTCTCTGACTGTATATAGTCCAAGAAGGTTCCGAAAAGTATATCGGTCATCTAATCGTTTTCACTCTCTTTACTGCTTGTGCGCATCTTGCGCCTACAGATTCGTTGGTCGAGCTGTAGTTCATTTTAAGTAAACACGGAATAAATAAATAAATTTCAGCTAACGTGGACATAAGGCATATTCATTTTTAAAACTATTTTTTTTAAGGAAACTGAAACGAATCCTCTGATTTATCAGCTATTGGAAATTTTTCCTGAAGCTTGTCCAGATTATTTAAGAAAGATATGCAAGAATCGTACTATTAAATTAAGTGAAATCGACAGTTTAATTTCAGAAATTCTTAGCAGTAAGTATTTTTTGTTTTATTTTTTAATTTTGAAAACTTAAATTCTTATAAATATTGTATTAACAAAGGAAACTATATTTAAATTTAGGTGATTATCCGAAAAGAAAGATTGTTGAGGAAGAACCAAAAGAGATTGACGCTAATGAACTTTCTGAACATCTTAAAGAACTTCTACCAAATGCTGACCCAACTTATTTAGAAATGAAAGCAGAACAATTAGCGAATAAGCCTGATGATTTAAAGGTGTTTATTTCAAATGCATTTGAACGTCACGATTATCCAACAATGAAGGAATATTTAAGGTAATCGTCTTATTATTTTACCGTTTAGTTTTATAAAAAATATTATAATTGCCTGCTTCACACATACACATTAGTTTTTATTGTAATTAATTTTTAGTAATGCTAAAATATATATAATAAAATAATTTCATGTATCATTTGTAACCAGGCTTTTATTTTATTAACATCTTTTTACAGGAGAGTGAAGATTTCAAGTCAACAAAAGCAATATACCACAAATTTTACAGTTGAAAACTTTTTGGATGTTATACCAGATCCATTTACCTATTTCAAAGACTCTTCACGCAAATCGAACGTCAAAGATGATGGTCAGGATATCCGCTATGTAATTGCGTTCCTAAAAAACAAGTACCCACAAGTTCCTGTTAAAATTATATCCAGCATGGATATATTAAAAAATAATTTAATTAAAATTTGCCAATTGCTCGATAAGGCGATGCCGATGAAGAGTAAACGAAAACCAGTTCCTCTGCCTAAATTACTGGAGAATATTCCTTTGCTTCAAGAGGTAAACAGAAATTAAATTATTACCTGATGTTATATTATGATGATAAAGATCAAGAACAATTTAAGGTGTTAGGTGCATAAACCGTTAACTTACTTTTTGTGTGTGTCATTTTTTTATCATCTTAGGGTCTGTGTCGTGGATATGTACAAAGTAAAAATTATCAATTAATATTTAATTTAAATTAACTTATAATTAATGCTCGCCTATCACATGTAGCGTAGCAATTAGGCGGGGTGCAGGTGGGCACTTCTTTACAAACTCGTTACAATGCGTACTACGCTTTTCTTTTTTATTTTCATTCAAATTTAAGTTTTAGCTCTATTTTTTGTAGCTTTGTAAATAAATCAACCATCATTTTTGTAATTAATTATTCATAGAAGGAAAAGTTGAAAAGATTGAAATTGTATCGCCTTTCGATAGCGACAAAGTTATTTTTCCTTTAATAAAATAAGAATCGCCAACCTACTAAAAGTAAAGATAACTACATCAATATCAATATTCTAGCTTTACGGGTAACAACAGAGAAAACGATAGAAAAAGGAAAGAGTGTCCTACATAGGATTCGTAGAAGCTTTTGGCAATGTTAGATGGGACAAGATGTTTAATATACGTAAAAGTGCAGGGATGAGATACAGAGAAAGAAGTTTGTATAAAGAGTAACAGGCAGTTATAGAACTTTAGCAGCAACGCAGAGAAGTAAATATTAGGGAAGGGAGCCAAACAAGATTGCAAAATGTCACCGCTACTTTTTAATCTATACATGGAGGACGCGATCGACAACATTAAAGACAGAACAATTGTAGGGATAGATATACAGGCGCAAAAGATTAGTATGCTTAGATTTGAGGTGGTATAGCAGAATTAGCAGCAAGGTGTGGTTAGAGATAACTTTAAATAAAATATAATCGGTATTGACAAAATAAAAGTAAAAGAAAAATAGTGGTATGCAAGGGAAGAAAAAATAGGGAATGCGAATATAAAGATAGGAACCGAAAAATTAGAAAAACTCAGGATGAAAGGAAAATAGAAATATAAAACAGGATAGCGCAGGGTCTAGTCACTTTCAACAAAATGAAATTACTTCTATGTTCGCGAAAGGTTAATTTATAAATTCCAAAAAGATTGTTAAATGTGTATATCTGAAGCGCGGCGCTGTACGGTTGCGAAACATGAAGGGTGGGCGCGAGAGAAAAGACAAGGTTAGAAGCGTTCGAAATGCAATGTTACAGGCGAATGGTGAGGATACCGTTGATAGAGAATAAGGTTAGAAATGAGAAAATATTAGAAAGAATAGAGGTCATTATGAAAGTCAATAAGAAATAGGTGAGATAGGTTGGTAGGACACGTCAATCATGAAAGGGCTAGTTAGAGACATATTAAAAGCAGAAACAGTAGTTAAGAGGAGTAGGGAAAGGCCTAGGTTATTGTTCTCAAATGTTCTAGTTTTAGGCAAATAAGGTGATTAGCTTAGAATAGAAAAATTGGAGGTGCGTGTCCAATCAGTCCTTAGGATGGACAACCTTTTGATTATAATATCAATACTTACGTTATAGTGATTTTTGCAACATTACACACTACTTTTATTTAAGTGCATCGGCTCTCTATCATAACTTTCATCCATTTATTCCGCATTTAGTCGTTTAATGGAATAATAAAAAATAAAATTTATGGTGCGTTGATGGTTGTATTAACATACTTTTTTGGTACAATACACGATTTTCTCGTTTTTTGATTAAGCATGTTGAGGGTTTTAGCATCAGCAAACTGTGAATGCTAAGTTGGGGGGGGGGGAAGCACGGGATCCTACGATATTGTACCATGACGTCATAATACTAACTAATAAATTAGTATTTCGACAACTATTTGTGGTATCAAAACAATTCTAATACAGTTCTTTTTCATTTTCCACGTGGTACATTATGACTCAAAAATTTCAAATTGTTGTATGAACATAGGCTCTTATGGCCGGAATTCATAGTAGAATTATGATTCGAGCTGAAAGGCCATGGTCCAAGTGAACTGTTAGGTCCAGTCCCTACCAACTGCCGAGACTTCGTGGTATAACCTTTGCTCACGTTGTGAACCCTATACCGTTAAAGATGTCAGCCGCAGTTCCACAACGAAACGTCTGGACCTAACGGTTCACTTAAACGATGGTCTTTCAACCCGATTCATAATTCTCAAATTGTTCTCCATTACTAAAATATGTATCATTGCAATGTGTATATCTATCCTTCACAGATAAATTAATAATTCGATGTTATGATTTTCATAAAATTTCACAAATACCAATAACACTTCACTTTTCATAATACTCTGCCACGATGCAAAGGTATTTTGAAAATAAATAAGATATAAAGAAGTGTTGTGGTAAATTATTAAAATAAACCTAATTTCAATTGGATAATGTTCGTTTTAAGATTGCTTTTATACATCACGAAGAGGAAATTCATTCTTTTATTAAAGTACAAAAGGCAAAAGAAGAACAAGAACGTGAAATCGCAAAACAGGCTGGTCTGTTGCAAACTTGTCAGTGTTGTTTTGACGATGAAGTAATGCCTAAAGATATTGCCCACTGTAACAGCGGCTGTGTTTTCTGCAAGAGTTGCGTCAGCAAATCCATAGAAGTAGCCTTTGGAGAAGGTAAATTACAATTTCCATGTCTTTCCACTTGTACCTCCGAGTTCAGTTTGCAAACTCTCCAGGTAAGCAGTTCTGTAATTTTTTCTTATTAATGTATTACTAAAATCATTGTAAGTAGAAAAATCATTGCATGGATACTAGACCACAAGGATGTCACACTCCTATTCCAAATTTCGCGCCAAAAAGCGTATGTTTACGAATGATGCGATAGCCTTTAATAGTACCTATCCTTGATGACGATGACCACACACACTTGTATCTCTCAATAATCTCAAAATATGTTGAAAACCGATTTTTAAAATCGGACCCATTGCAATACGAGGGTGGATTGATAAGTTTCCGGCCTGACCAAGAAAAACAAGGTTTTAAAAATTTTTTTTTTTTATTTCTCAACATAATCTCCTCCAAGGCTGATACATTTCTCATAGCGGTGTTCCAGTCTATTAATGCCATCTCTATAGACTGATTCGTCAAGCTCCTCAAAATAACCATTTACAGCTTCGATTACTTCTTC